GTTTAAAAAGTTATCACAAGCCATGCTTCCATATTTTTATTAATCATCATCATTATTGTAAATAACGTTTCATGACATCAGAAAGTTTATCTGAAAGTCAGAGGAGATATTAACTATCTAGAGAACAATTCATAATAAAATAAGGCTACATAATAAATGGGATAATTTTGAAGGAGAGGTAAACAAATCATCCATAAAAATATTCACCATGTGCATTCTTAAAACAACCAAGTATTCTGCACCAAATACTTATAAATTAGCATCAATTAAAATACTGCTTTCTATAAAATAATTATTATAAATTATAATGCTTTTCATATTGTCAACAGGAAGCTAGATGGTGTCTTAAGTGATACATAGAAGCTAAATTGTGTATATAAAGTTATTTTTTAAAAGAAAAGTTGAAGATTTACTCAAACTATGACTGGGCATTTTCAATATTTAATTAATTAATTTATTTTTTCAGAAAACCTTAATAGTTCTGCACTCTAAATCGTCAGCATTCTCATCCCCTCATAAACTCTTAAAATCAATAAACCATGTAGCTTTGAACTCTACATTGATGGCATTTATATTAATATAACAAAAATCAAACTATAAAAATTAGGACACCTGATTCAAAGTGAACTTTTCCCAAGTTGTATTTTTCAAGTTCACAGTTAATCAAAATTTAAATGTGATTACATTTTCCAATGAAATCAAACTTGATCACTCTGAAAAATGGGAAGATGAGCCACACCAAATATTCAAATCTTCACTGAAATTATATGCCAATCAGACTTTTACAGCTAGCTCATTGAAACAACATTATACATTTTTAGCAAGAATAGACCATCTTTTAATGATGCAATCAACCTTCCTGTTTATTGCCTCTCTCTATGAATTAAAGACAGAGCAAGACTTTTAAATGAGATCCATACCTAGTTTATACACTGCTGACTTGAAACACTTAAATAAAACTTCTTGGCAGTATAATGGGTAACCAAAATTTCTAATCTTTATATAAATAAGATGTATCACCCGTTATACATGTCAACTTAAATTCTGTGTACTTTTTTAATTTTGTGTATTATTTTCTTAAATAAAACAAACTAGGGTAATATTCCAAAATTCTACACTTTCCTTTATTTTTAAAATTCAGAATTTATTTTTGAAAAACCAGGATGAACTTGACAATTGTACTAATAATCAGATGAAACAATTGTTGAATATTCTCAAACATAATAATTAATATCAAGCATAGTTGCCAGGCATGCTGGCTGTAATCCCAGTTGTCAGGAGGCAGAGGAAGGAGGATCAATTCAAGGACAATTTGTCTCAAAAGCCACAATGCTACCCATGCTTCACACACTAAGAAAGAGAAGCCTCCATCAAACATCTCCTCTTGCATCTCTCTTTCCCCTTTCTCATTTTCTCCTTTCCTTCCCTTTCTACCTTCCTGATTTTCATTTTCCTTTTTACATTTTTCTTGTCTATTCTTTCATCAATCTAGTTATAAAAAGGAATTAGAGGTACAGTTCTGTATTAAAATCACCAAAACATGCAAACCAAACAAAACACCAGCTTGGAGATAATTTTAACTGCATGTGACTCATGTCCAAATAAATGGCTATTGAGCTCCAATGGCCAAATGTAACCAACTAACCAAATAACCAAAAAGGAAAGAGATGGGTTTTACTTTGTTGCACTGAACTAAGACAGAAGCCTGTCAAAAGACAGTCATGTTAGGCTCCTCTCTGCAGTCATAGCATAGTATAGCATAGCATAGCATTGTAACAGGGGCTGATTCTCTCTCATGGGGTGGGTCTCAAGTTGGGCCAGTCATTGTTTAGCCATTCCCTCAATCTCTGCTTCATCTTTATCCATGCACATCTTGTAGGCAGGGTAAATTTGGCGTCAAAGGCTTTGTGGGTGAGATGGTGGTCATTTCAGTCTTCATACTCCCACCACCTCCCCAATGTTAAGAGTCTCACCTAGAATCCAGGAACCTACCCTGTCTTAGGTCTCAAGCTTGTCCCAGAGATGTTCCCCTCCCCATTGGTTTCTCTTCTCTCTCCCATCCCTCTCATCTCCCACTGTGATTGATTTTACCCAGCAGCAGATCAAAACAGAAGCTGAAACCTACATCCAAACATTAGGCAGATCTCAGGGAGTCTTGTGGGAGAGCTGGGGAAGGATAGTGGGACCTAGAGGTGACAAGAATTTCACAAGAGGAACAACAGAAGCAACTAATCTAGGCCCATGGGAGCTCACAGAGACTGAGGCCCCAACCAAAGAACATATATAGAGTGGATCTAGGCTCCCAATACTTGTGTAGCTGATAAGAAGCTTGCTTTTCATGTGGGTTCCTTGGCAAGTTCAGTGGGGCCTGTCTATGACATAGACTCTGTTACCTACTTTTGGATCACTTTCCCCTGGCTGGGCCGCTTGTCAGGCCTCAGTGGAAGAGATCAGTTCAATCCTGCTGAGACTTGATGTGCTGTGGTGGGTTGGGAAGGGGTCTCCTCATTTCTGAGGCAAGGGGAGGGAGAAGGGGGAAGATAGTGGGAGAATGAAACGAGGAGTAGAGAAGAGAGAAGACTGAGATTGGGGTTTGAAAGAAAGAAAGAGACAGAGAAAGAAAAAAGAAAAGAAGGAAGAAAGAAAGAAAGAAAGAAAGAAAGAAAGAAAGAAAGAAAGAAAG